GTACCGAGGAGAATGAAGGACGACGGGAGGAGAAGAAAGAAAAGCAGTTCTGGAGGAGAACAGGATTGGAGGAGAACGAAATGACGCCGGGACGGAACGAAAGCTTCGCAAGAGGAGGATGTAGAGGACGAGTGGTAGAAGAAGAAGAGGAGGAGGAGGAGGAGGAGGAGGAATAAGGGTCGATCCACGTGGGAGTCGAGACCGGTTTCTCTGGCATGCATTTTCTCCTCGAAGAACGAAGAAGGAACGAGGTTGAACGCGATCGAGCCGAGGTCGTAACAACGAACGAACGATTACGCGATTACTTCCAGCCACGAGAGGAGTTTCGATTCGATTCGAAGGGAGGCGGGGTGGAAACAATGGGGGGGGGGGGGGGGGGAAGAAAATGGAAAAGGAAAGGCGAGAAAAAAGAAAAAAATGCGTGAGAGGCGTTATAGAGTAGGTGTAGACGATGCGGTTGGTGTAGATGAGAGAGAGGTACGTGTCCCTACCTTATCTAAACCTTCAAAAGAACTTAATGTCAATGTCGCCGGGTCTGCTCTTATGATAGGTATATATGTGGGTCATCAGGGAGTTACGCGAGCAATATACCCGCTCGCAGATGACGCATCTGTACTCCTCCTGTCGCTCGGCGTGCTTGTCGGCAACGTGGCGTTTCAGGGATGCTTTGCTGCATAGCACCTTGCCGCACAGCTGGCAGGTGAACAGCTTCTTCGCTGACTGGGTGTTCAGAGAGTTCAAGGTCAGCCCCGGCATAGAGGTGAGCACTGAAACACAACAATGCACCTCATGCAGCTGCAACCGCCACACTTAAAACCCTATCCCCCATATCCAAAGGATGACGCAAGCGAGATAAACTCACAATCTCCCTCCCTCCCTCCCTCCCTCCCCATTTCTTCTCTAGCTTACTTTCCTCCCTCCCCCCTCCCTCCCTCGTAGATTCATCCCTACCACTCGCTCTCCCTCCGTGTTGTTCTCTTCGTGCTCTCGTATTCCCTTCTCCTATTTTAACGACGCGATAAATTCAATAATTAAACGCAATACGAACTCTTGCGGACGAAACCTCCCTCCGGAATTCCGAAAGGAATGAATATCGAGCGCCGGGAAGGGAGGGGAGGGAATGGGGTTCCGTTTTTTCTTTCGAGGACATGGATGGAAGGAGGAGGATGGAAGAAAAAAAGAAGAAGAAGAAGAAGAGAGAAAGAAAGAAAGAAAAGAAATCGAAATCGTTGTGTATCAAAAGCATGAGGAAAGAATTTCCTT